GACCACAGTGACGATCAGGTCGGTGTCCGACAATTGTCTCAATTGTCTCATTACAGCAATGATTGAACCGTTGATTGACAGGTCGTTGCACTTAATAGATGTCATGATTTGTCTGTTTATGAGTCCATTAACTAAAGCAATGAATATTTGTATGAATTTATAGCGGAAACTGAGTTCACGTTTAGTTCACTTACATCGGGACGAGTCGTTAGGTTTGGGTCTTTCAATAAAAGGCGGATCCGATCACTCGCTTCCGATTCTCATCTCAAGAATTGTGAGCCAAAGTCCGGCCGATCTCTGCAAACAACTCTTCATTGGCGATGAGATAATAGCTGTTAATGGCGTCGACTTCGACAGCACCACAACACACGACGAGGCGCTCAAACTATTGAGACAATCGGATGATGAGATCTCTATGAAAGTACGACACCATAGAGTGGCTAACATTTATCGGAAGCAATGGCGCAAAAACGACAACCAGTTTATTGATTTACAAGACGATAATCCGTTGATTAAGAAGACATCGACTCTCGATCTCAATGATCCGAAAGAGTTGATCCAAAACGAGAGCAATGGCGCCAACAGTTGGAAGGAATGCGTGCGGATGGAGCTGTTCCTCTCAAATTTGTCTCAATACGTCTCGTTTAGTGATAAACTAAGAGATGCGGGCTTTGAGGTGAGAGCCATCAACGGACAGACAGCTTTGGTTCAGTGCGATAACCAAGAGATGTGTCGCGAATGGTGTCAAACGATCACAAATGCCATTAATAACCTCACTCTTAATCATGTGATTAGACTTTTGAATTGATTTGAAATGACATGCAATTAATTGTTTTATGATTTTAGATGAAACTCTTAAACAAATCGTTGCCTAAATCAGAGCACATTCTATACATGGGTTGGGTGTCTGAGTGCCAAACCATTGGATACCAACCGAAGCAAAGCTATAAGTGGTCACAAGAGTACCTCATAATAAAAGGCGGTGCTCTCTATATTCACAAATGTCCGCCAAATTCGTTGATTCAAAACGATAGTCAACTTAATATTCAATTAATAAACAAATCATTATATCATTACAATTGCTATCAATCGGTGTTCCGTTGCCTCAAACCTAACGAGCAATTGGATGACAAACGAAACGTTTGTATAATACAAAGCGCTGAAGAGTCGTCTCCCAAATACCTGTCCACTGAAACCAGTGACGATTTGACAAACTTAAAAAATGCGTGGCACCGGGCTAATTACCATTCGGTCACTCAGTTGGGCGTACGTTTGTATATACTGTCCATACAAATTGAATACCAGTACTGACTGTACTGTATGTCTATTTAGAGTAAGACATTCCCAGTGGTGTGCGATGGCATGTCTGGATCGTTGACACTGGACTGGCGGATGGGGTTCGCATTGTATGACCCTCTGGTGAAAGAGTACAAATGGAACTATAAGTTTCATCAACTGAAGCACTCCTCAGATGATGGTAACCACGAATTGTCGCTCACTTTTGTGACCAATCCAAACGATAGTCGGATTACAGAGACTCAGCTCTTAGAATGCAATTCATTACAGAATCTCTTGTACTGTATGCACGCCTTTCTTAGCGCTAAAGTCGCTTCAGTTGATCCCAGATTTCTTCAGTCATCTTAAAGTGTTGTTTAATCAATGAATTACCGATATTCCAGAGAGTTATTAGCAAATGAGTGCAACAATTATTAGTCAATTCATATAAACACAACTTTTTTGTGAATAATGCAATTTAATATTTTGTTTTAATTAATATATAATTCATATTTATTATAATTATATGCTTTTAATTAATAAGATTTTTACGATCATTTACCAAAGCTTTGACAATTGTTATAATATATAATAATTTTAAACAAATTGTTAGTTTTTAACTTTTAATACAATGTATGACATAATTATGTAATTTTTGTTAGTATTTTAAAAGCCTTTTATTTAATAATTAATGGCTTTTTACTGAATGGTGCGCTCGAAATGACTAAAATTTTAAATTTTGCCTTAAATTAAGTGTATGTTTGAGCCGTACTTTAAATATTTTGTAAACAGTATTAATTTAAAAATTATATTTCATTAATAAATCATTTTCACGGTTCTATCCATTTGTTAGAAATGAGTCGAGAATTAAATTCTTTGTTTTAAAAGTTGTAGACATTTGTAGACATGTTTGCATTAAATGCAAGGATTGTTTGGTCGGCCTTTGAGTGCATTTTAAATTACAATTCACTATAATATTCCGTCAAATAAATAACATTCATTTGAAATACTCACGTAAACATCGAGGAACTAATGGCACCCAAACCCCATAAGCAGTACAAAGGGCAGCCCTGGGGCCCACTAAATAATGATTGAGATTGCAATTCAATGAACAGTATCTGCAACTAAAATTTTAAATTTTGCCTTAAATTAAGTGTATGTTTGAGCCGTACTTTAAATATTTTGTAAACAGTATTAATTTAAAAATTATATTTCATTAATAAATCATTTTCACGGTTCTATCCATTTGTGAACACAGTTGTAGACATGTTTGCATTAAATGCAAGGATTGTTTGGTCGGCCTTTGAGTGCATTTTAAATTACAATTCACTATAATATTCCGTCAAATAAATCAAATTCATTTGAAATACTCACGTAAACATCGAGGAACTAATGGCACCCAAACCCCATAAGCAGTACAAAGGGCAGCCCTGGGGCCCACTAAATAATGATTGAGATTGCAATTCAATGAACAGTATCTGCCGGCCAGACCTGTTGGCTTGCACTGACCCATTAGTCTCCCATTAGTTTCTGGTATTGGANCTGGGGCCCACTAAATAATGATTGAGATTGCAATTCAATGAACAGTATCTGCCGGCCAGACCTGTTGGCTTGCACTGACCCATTAGTCTCCCATTAGTTTCTGGTATTGGAAGACATTCTGTGAATTGAATGATAGGTTAGAAATGGTAGTAAACTTTCAATTCTCTCGATAACCTACTCCTTAAACATTGAGCCAAACGTCCCGTCCATTTCCCACTTGAATCACACGTCATACTACTTCGACCGACCATTTGATATCCATATTTACACTTAATATCACATTTACTACCGATTGCCCCAAAGCTACAGTTAATATTAGGTTTGGCGCCAACGGGTAAGACTAGAGCCGGACACGTTTGGCCACTCGTTGCCGTGCACTCAAAATTGTCAATTGTCTCACTCCATGTGCCGTCTGCCTGACACGTTACTGACATTGATTTCGACGAATCTGTTAATACATTGATGAAAATTCTGGTTTTCAACAATAATTCTCATTAAATGATTAACAAATTAATTGACACCTGTTTGACACGATAGAGCGCAAGCCATTTGAAATAGACCCGGAGTACAAGAACCAGTCATTGAAATTCCTGCCGATGGAGTCAATGACGGGCATTGTATGCGCTCACAAACCGGAGGTTTGCCACTCCAGACCCCATTGGAATCGCATGTCACTTGTGAGAGGCCTTCCAACTGGAATCCCTGGGAACAAGTGAACGAACAGACACTATCAGTGCCCCCATTAGCACATCCACCCGATGCTAAGCCATTCTCAGGATTGCCTATATTTGGACACTGATTGACAGACTCTGAATACAACACAACATTTAAACTATAATATCTTAATGTCAATACATTTTACAATGAATGATCACAATTTTTAATTCTATATAATACTAAATGAATGAATATTAAACCTTTTATAATGATGAGTAAAATCAATTGAATAATTAAATGGTTTGTGTGTATCGAAGGGCCGATATTCATGTAATATAATTTCATATCTCATTCAAATTAATTTATTGTCCATAAACAATACTAAACTCTTGCAAAAATCAGTAACAATTTAGATTTATTAACTTTATTGTTTCATTTTATAACTTTTATAACTTATAACATTTAATTTTGGAAACTTTTATATTGATACAATGTTTATTCAGATTATAATCAACTCTTAATTATCTATTTATTCACGTTATATAATAAATATAATACTTTAGCTTAAAATTAAATTATTTACAAAACTTGTGGAAAATTGTTAAAACGTGTAGAATAAATGACAATACAAGTACACAATTAATAATACTATTTTTGTAAATGACAACTTCATTATTCTCTAGCAATTATCCAATCACAACATACGTTTGTGTTTCTTTAAAAACAGATAATTAAATCAACAATATTAATCAAAGTAATAATAATAAAATATTTTTAAACTATATATTATTAACACAGTATTCAAATGATTTAAACAACTAATGCTTAAATTTTAAGTTTAATTTTAAGTACTATTTATGAAATAGTAACAATAATGACCCTGCACTTTGCATATAATTAAGAAAATGAATGATCACTCACTCGCACAAATGGGAGGCATCGCAGACCATCGACCAGACATACACAGCACAGACCCGATGCCAACTAATTGATATCCTTGATTACATACCAGCCTACATATGTGTCCCTCTAATCCCGGTGCACACCAACCAATAGCTCGACCGTTGAATGTATTGATCCTTGGACATTCTTTTAAAATATACACTAGTTTTAGATTAATTAATATTGAAAACTAGATAAAAACCTCTTAGACATCGAGGTATGTGTCCACTCCAATGACCATCTCGACCGCAAATAATGGTCTGATTTCCAAGTAATTGAAACCCTTTATTGCATTTCATAGAACATGTCTTATCAGTTTGTGCCGGATTACAGCTACCGGTGATCTCTCCATATCTCGGTTTTGCAATGTGTGGACAGACACCGGTTGGCACGTTGTTTGCCACACAGGATATAGTAGTGGATGCGATGTTAGGGTCACTCCACTTGCCGTTTGAATTGCAGACAACATTAGGAGTATTTGGCGATAATTTAAATCCTATTAAAGAATTAGTTTGAATTCATTTCCATACAACAAAATACATGCCTTTCGGACAAATGAATTGACAATTGTGTTTATAGATCCCAGGACTACACGAACCACTGAATGCACCGTTAGGTTGAGGCCGATTGACTGCCGGACATTCAACTGCTTTACATTTGGGTACCTCTGAAGACCAACCATTGGAAGTGCACTTCAATTCAGACTTTCCAACCAATGTATATCCCGTCTGACAAATAACTTTACAAACTTGTGATTCTTGAGTTTTATCACTACATTTACCCTCAAGATAACCATTCAATGGAGGGTGCAATGATTTGCAACTAGCTTTTGGAATGATAGGACAGTTAGGTATAGGAATACTCCATTTCCCTTCCTTTAAACAGTCCATTCGATGAATTTTATCATTAGAGCACTTAACTGTGCAAATATCTCCCGGTGCTGCCTCTTTACACTTTCCTATATTATTGCCATTTTCATTAATATTTTAAAATTATTAATTAAATATGAGTTGAAATAAATAAATATTAAAATAACCGGATATCTCAGCGTTTTCTATATTCTGAACGGACGGACATTTGGTTTGTGCGACACAAGAGGGACAACACTTTCTGTCCCATTGACCATCTTCTTTGCACGTATAAATTGATTCTCCGACCAAATGGTAATTGTTTTTACACTCAAACTTACACTTCTTTCCACTTTAAGCAATACATTTTAGTTCATAAAAGAGTTTCGTGTATTGAAAAATAAATCAAACCTCACTCCTGGCGCACAAACACCAGTCTTCACTCCAAAGTCGATATCATTTAACTCTTTAAAATTAGTATAATTTGTTACTTTTTACAAACGAAATACTTGCAATTAATAATAGAGTACATACCGGCGCAAGATATAGATTTAGGTTCACAGACAGCCACTCTATCACTCCATTTACCTAATGAACACAATCATTTAAAATCAATTTAATAATTTCCTTAATTTATTACCATTTCTTTGACACGTTATAGTCTTAGTACCGATTAGTTTATATTCTGGTTTACAAAATACTGTGCATTGAGATTCTGGTTTGGGTTGTCTGCATGGGTCCGGCGATTCAAAGTCTTTATTTATTTAGAAATCTTGTTATAAATTATAGATAACTATAGAGTGCAGTATAGAACCTCCATGTGCTGGTGGTGTTAGTGACGAACAAGATGTTTGTTGAATACACTGTGGAAGTTGTCCCTCATTACTCCATTCATTATCATTGCTACACATTAATGATTTGATATCAGGACTGAGACTATATCCCTGAGCGCAACGGAATTCACAACGCATTCCAGGAATCCCTGGTTTGCAGTGAGAGTTGTCCTCAAATATTAAGTTTTTGGTTTCAACCAAATTCGAGCATTTATTTGGTCTACACGAAGGGAGTTCTTCTGGATCCCAACCGTTTTCAGTACACCTAATGCGAGGACTATTTGGTGACAGTTTGAATCCTTTGTCACATTTTATAATACATTCGTCATCGAGATTAGCATTTTCACAGTTGCCTTCTGTGTATCCATTAGCGGGTGATCTGATATCAGGTCTGCATTTCTTTGCCCGCGATTCACACGTTGGAAGTGGTTTTGGCTCCCATTTGCTCTCACATCGGGTCTCTGTCTCTATAAACACACAGCGAACTATTGAGGGATCAATTTGTTGTCCTAACAATTATAACACAATAAAACAAATCAAATTCATGTATAATTGCATTTCTTATTAGTCAAATGCTAACCATTATCACAAGAGAGTCTGCATTCGCCGCCAACTGGAGTCTCATCACAAGAATTTCCATTTGAAATTTCTATTGGAGGGCATACGGGTGCAGTACATATAGAATCGGGGTCTGGTATTTGGGGATCCCATCCATTGGACTGACAGGTTACCACTGACGGCTCTGTCAAAGTGCATCCAGTTTTACACGTGAACTTGCATTGAAAGTCTTGCTGTGGGTTTACACAATCGGTTTCAGTAAATCCTCTTTGAGGTGGTTGTATGTCATCGCACTGTTCAGTTGACTCTGAAAGGGTTGAGTCAAAACCATTTGAAGCATAATTTATCCTGACAATTTATCCTAACAATAAATTGCTTACCGGACACACACTCTGGTATTTCCAATGTATCCCAACCATCTTGAGTGCATCGAATTTGACGAGTATTGGGAGACAACTGGAAGTCAGTGTCGCACCCAATACTACATTCCTGATCGAGTTGAGGGTTCTCGCAGTTACCGCTTATGTAGCCATTGATCGGAGCGATTAAATTAGGAGAACATCGAGACATTGAAGTACTTTCTCCGCACGACGGCAGAGCCTCGGAGTCCCAAACACTCTCACATTTGCCATCATTTTCTACTGACAAACATTCAAACTTTGTTTGACCTGAGATTTGAACGCCTGTATCAATAAAAAGTTTCTTAAATAATTATAGTTTGGACTTATCAATATATCACTGTCTTACCTTCTTTACATGTGAACTCACAACTTTGTCCAACTCGTATTGGACCACAAGAACTACCCAAAGGGATTGACCGTTTAGGACAATGAGAACAGCCATCACTTTCTTTTTTATCTATTTCTTCGTCTCTTTCGTTATCTCTTTGATTGTGTTTATCATTATTTCTATCATTATCTCTACCTCTATCTTTATGTGTACCCTGATCACTTTCTCTATCTTGTTTATTATCTTTTTGTACACAACGAGGCAGTTGTCCACTCCACTGGCCATCGCTTTTACATTTCAAAGAATTTATATTTGGATTCAATGAATATCCGGTCGCACAATATAATTCACAATTAGTTCCCACTTTAGATCCTTGTTTGCAATGAGACTCATCTTTAAATTTTAAATTATTAGTTGCCGTCAGTTTTGGACAACTATTACTAAAACACACATCAATTAATTTAAAAACCATGTAAAATTTTAATGTATTTGTAATTGAATTTAAAAATAACATTTTACTAATTATTTTCTGTCATATTTTATTCAACATTTCAACTTAATAATGATGTCAATAAAAATATAAATATGCCATGTCATGACATGTATTTTAAGTACTTATATTATTTGTTATTCTAAAATAAATAAGTATAATAAATCTCAAATTTATACTTAGTTTGAAAGGTATTTTACAAAAATAATCTACTAAGTTACTACAGGTACTACTTTTATTATATAGTTTGTAAAAATTAGTATAATTACACTTACTGTTGTATATAGAACACAATGCGATTGTATCTAAAAAATAAAGTTAATTAACTTTATTGAATTCAAAAATGTTAGGAATATTTATTTTGGAAATGACTTCACTCTTTGGTTTTGTTAAAAGCTTTTCACTCGAAGTTTTGTGAAACTTAGATAATGTTTGCATTGAAGTTGTCGTTACTTTTTCAGCACAATCTTGCTTTAAATTTTCATTGGTTTTGTTTCGTTTGTATTTCTTTTCTTTGGTTGTAATCACTTTATCGGATCTCTTCACAAATCTTTTGTCGTATAACTGATCCGACTTCAGCGGTGGAGAAGTCTTTTTCACACTCTTTGAGAAATCTATGAATTTGAGTTTTGGAGAAATTATTTTCTTTTTCTGATCACATAATTCCCTATTCTCTTGGTTTTCATTCTCAATGTTTTGATTAGAGTTAATAGATTTGTCACAAAGTTGATCGATATTGAAATGAGGCGATAGTGTCAACTCATTTCTCTGTTGAGGAATACTTTGTGAACTCTTTAGCAAATCGTCGAAAAATGCTTCCGATTTGTTCTCATCGTTGAAACTAATGTCTGAAATATTTAAAAACTCTTTGTTCTTAAACTTTGTTTTAAGGAAATCTCTTTCTTTAGCTAAGAATTGAGACAAAGATTCCTTTTCTTTAACGGTATTCCTCGACATATCTTTGCGGATGAAACTCTTGTTTTCATTCATTCCATTATAAATTACAATTAGTTGTCTATTGTCCGCACAAAATATGGGCAAATCAGGTGCCAATGACTCGTTTGTGTCAGCCTTTAAATAAACACGAAATTTATTATTCATTTAAATCGGTTATGCTTTAAATGCAAGGATTCTTACAAATTTGATGACATAATATTCGGGATCGTATTTACTGTTAAATTCCGTCAGAATTGGATTTAAGACTTTTGCACTCATTGTCGATGGTTTTGATTTAACACTTATTATGAGTCCATTTGGAAGTTTCATTTCAAATGAAACTCTTTGTTCGACACGAATTTCGTTGACAATCAAATCCATGGCATCACTTTGTAGATCCAGTGCCTACAAAATTATATAACTTTATATGTTTCTATTTTTTGTCTTAAATTTAACACTATATTATCATGTAACTTATATTTACATTATCAGATCCAATAGGAAATGCTTCAAATGCTGTAAAATTTAAGTTTCTCTTCTTTAATAACTTTTCTAATAAATGTTGAATAGTTTGTGATTTATTTATGAGTAGTCTTTCATGTGATCCATCTGTGAAGACAACATTCAAAGACTTAATCCCTTTATTTTCCAAAAGACTAGAATTATTTATTAAAGCAAAACCACAGCTATACAAACTGACTTAGGTAACTTAACTGACGTAAACACAACTAGAGAGGTAAGCGGGTGTAAAATAACCTACTGTAAGAAAACCAACGTTTCCACACACTCAAAATGGGCTAATCGATCCATTGATTAGTCTTTTCTTAGGGCTTAAGGCCTTCAATAGTTTCCTTTTGTTAATTCTTCTGTTAATTTCGTTTAATTCAACTTTTTTCAGTTTCTTGAAAGCGTTTCGTCGATATCGTGACACTATTTCATCATTTTTCGTATCATTTTCTTCTCTTTTACTCAGTTTTTTGAAAATATTTTCATGAAATGCACTTTCAGTCAAATTATTTGAATAAAAAGATTTTAGAAATCTTTTGTAACAATCAAATTTCATTAACTCGTAAATCTATTCAAATGTTAAATTAGAAAACAAATTATACAAATAATTACTATAAATTAAATGAATTTACACTATACTATACCTGTTTCTCTGGGACGGCAAACAAATCAGGAAAACCCAGTAATTCTCGGCTAAGTTGGCGTTCTGCTCGGAATAACAGTTGTAACTGGCGTAGGCTACGGGGCTGAGAATTCATAAACAGTATTTATACAAAACGCATAACTCAAGCGATAGTTAAAATTAATATATTAATACTGTATAACCTTTTATTATAGGGAGTGTTACACTTGATGTCAACTTACTTGATGTGAATCCAAAATCTTCCTATATTTTCTGCAACACAACCAGAACTTGAGGTTTTCATTACTGAACTCTTTCTTTAAAAAGTCCTGTAATTAATTCAATTTAAAATAAACAAATAATAATAAAAATATGATGCATATTGATCATGTTTAATTTATAAAAAAAATAATTACAGAAAACAAATTGACTCCAATCTTATCATTGAGAAGTTTGTCAAAATCATAAATCCATTCACAAAGAAATTTAATATCTTTTGGTAAATCATTTATTGAAGTCATTCTTATTAACGTCTAAACCATCCAGTTCATTGTCATATAAACTATTATAGTTAACATTAATATAAACTTATACAAAAATAATTCGCATATATCATACTTAAATAAAAAACTTTTGGAAAAGACTTTATTTCTAAAACATTGAAATTTATTTAAAAATGACATAAAATATTTCAGCAAGAAAGCATTTAAATAAACGGTTCCCACAATAAGTGGTTTGAAAAACTGGATTCAATGCAACGATTGGTTCAACGGTTTGCTTCAATTGAGGAACAGATGTGAGGAATGGGAGACTCAATGGGAATGTCATTCACAGAGAGGGTCTCCTCTCATGCATTGCATCGCTGCCTATGTTTATGCTTTTGGATGTCATTTCAATTCATAGCTTTGCTAACTTTGCTGTAATTACTTGTAAGTGTGCCGTATATTACTTGTACTTTTGAATTTGAATTTAATTTCATAGTAAAAGACAATAAGTTATCAAATATTCAAACAAATGTTGACATTGAAAATAAACGTTAACTTCTGAATAAATATTGCTAGTATACTGTATTTGAGAAAGCTGCATTTAATAGACAAACATTTCTTTCACTGATTTTCTATTATTTTCTATAAACTTTATTTGAAGTTTATTGATTTGTTTATAATTGATTATCTCATCTTAACAACTATTTTGTTTAAATTAAGGAATTCAAATGCTAATGTTAATAATGCTAGTAATTCATTAACTTATTTTATACATTTTAAATTTAAA